TTGTGCATCTACTCTCTCGCTCAAAATACGAACACATAAGAATTATTAAATTGGTGCAGTTTGTATAGAGCCGAAGCTTTAAACAATTAAAGTAAAGCGTACCTTTAAATAGTTTCGAAAAATATTATTTCAGTACTACAAAACTTTGTGATAGCATTAAAATACATTTTCATTGTTAATTATAAAATTTAAAGCTTAAAAAATAGTGTAGATCGAGCAGATCTATGAGAACTTGGAGATCTTAAAAATTCACAGTCCAAAAATACATTATTTCCAAAACTTGAAATTCTTTTTTTTTTTTATGTCGTTGCATCTTGATGTTGAGATGATCAATTTGAGGATATTTGGAAATCAAATCAACCTCTTCTAATTTTAGATAAAGAATTTGAACTTTGAGTTTTGTGACAATTAGATCTAATCCATAAAAATTTTGATAATTTCTGTTCAATCACGAGGCATTAGTCTTTTCTAATACTTAGAGAGATAATTTTAGAAATTTTTTGTCGAGATTACTAATGGGTTGTAGAGCTTACATCCCCAAAAATTGAGATCTCAAAACTATCCTTAGCATGTATTTTGCCGAGTTAGTAAATCAATAGTATGCTACGGCAGGAGTAATAAATCTTTTTAGCTTATTTTTATGTATATTACTCGATATTATTACTCTTAACTCTAACATCACTTCATTTAAATTAATTAATAGCATTATCAATACACTAAGTCTAACATCATTGTAAAATTTTCATAATTTGAAAACCTTTTTTATGTGTCCTCGTGATGCGGGTCGATAAGGCAATTGGAAGGTGGTGGGCCACACGAACCTTGGATAATAGTGAGGGGTGGGCCCGGCCAATCACAAGCCACAGGCTGACGTCATCAAGGGGTGGGCCCACCAACACAGGCCCCCTTCTCCATGATTGCCGTGCGTTTCCAAGAGAAGAGACCGTATCATTATTATCGTTACACTTCCCATTTTCATAAAAACAAAGGAAAAGCATTTCTTTACATTTTTTAATGCAAAAAAAAACATTTTCTTCGCTTGTTTGCGTCTGTCTCAATCATAATTCATTTCCTTTTGAATAGTGGAGAGAGAAATTCAAATCCTTTTGAATAGTGGAGAGAGAAATTCAAATGCCAATTTCCTTTTTTTTAAATCCCATAAACAAAAGTTAAGCCCTTGATTTTGAGCTGGTTCTTAAAACGGCTTAACCGGTTCGACTCGTTTCGGTGGAGGGCACCTCTACCTGATCCCCTTATTTTTTTGCTTTTTTATTCTTTAAAATTATTTATTTTCCGATCATGCCAAATCACCTGAGTTGTAATGATCGAACGGAATTTAATGGCAACAATGCTTTTTAAGCGGTGATGGAAATCACGACTTAGAGACGGAACTCAGCCACAGGCCGCGCTTGAATAGCCAAGTAACTGAAGCCATGTTCCAAGACTCAAGGAAGGAACTTGGCCATTGCCCTAGCTCAAGTAGCGGGGTCCAAGTTCTAAGATACTTGGCTTGAGTCAGGAAGGTCAAAAAATGTTAAAAAATAAAAGAAAATATAAAAAAACTTAAAGAAATGAAAACATTATTCAAGTAAAATTAAACAAGAGATATTTAAATGAGGTTAAAAAATAGTAAAAATGGATTTTGAAAAACTAATTTGTGACTAAAGTTATTTCTAGAAATAATCTAAAAAGAAGGGGATATGTAAAAATCAAAATTCATGGCCAAAACACTTTTTCAATCTTTGCCAAAATAATAGAAAACATAAAGAAACATATTACAAATGCATTTATTGTGTTTCTTTATTTTGTATATTTTTTTAATACATTTAATATCCTTGATATTGAACATCAAACTTGCGATACTTAGGCTCGTCAAGTTGGGCTGACTCATCTAACTAGTCAAATACTGCTTTTGAGTAGGGCTGGCAATGGGCCGTACACGGTTCAGGCCCTAAAAAAGTAGGGCCGCATCCGGAGGGCAGGCCTAGGGGCAGTGCCCGCCTGGTTTGGTCCAGCCCGTTCCCTTTTTTTTTCCATATATTCTTTAAATTTTTTATTTGAAGAGGAGAAATCTCGGGCCCGGGCCCGTGCCTACCCTTTTGAGTAAGAGGGAGAGAGGCGATACTTAAGCACCTCTGTTTTTAACAAAATTTATTTAAAAATAAAAAGATCTCCCGCTTTTCCCGGTCAAATGACCCACCATTCATGGGCCCACACGAGATAAGAATCATCCTACGTGTCTGACACGTAGACAAAACATGCACGTCATCATCGGTCACCGGCAACCGGCTCTTACAAGTAACAAGTAGGTGGGTGGCCCCCACATGAAAAAAAGGAGAAAAAAAACAAAAATGAGATGGAAACGTTATGACCTCGGGCTTGACAAAACATTCTGACGGCATTTAAGGCGCCCCAACAATAATCAAAATAAAAATCTTTTATGAACTATAATTGAGAAAACGAAATAATAATTGAGTTTAAAGCGTGTGGGCTTGGCACGTGTTTTGAGGTACCGTTTCATATCGTGGTCAAAACCTGAGGTAAAAACACTAAAAACAATAATTCAGTATATTTTTGCAAATTCAGGAAAAATTATAGTTTCCGTACATTGGAATCTCAAGACGGGCTAAATAACGTTAACCTCGAGAATTTACTGTTTTAACCGGTTTTTAACGGTGGCTAATTTGACGGACCGGTTATTTTAGGGTTTTTTTTACCATCTTTGACACCGCAGAAAGCTGTTCACGCCGCCAAGAGACATGAATTAGGCAACGCGTAACGTCAGCCTGCGATAACGGCCGTTAGGGAGAGAGAGGAGACGTACTGAAACGAAAAGCCAGTTCGCTTTTGCTTAGCTTCATTTCACATAGGGTGCGGTTTGTATAGAGCCGAGGTTCTAAACAATCAAAGTAGAACACACCTTTAAATAGTATCGAAAAATGTGATTTCAATATTGAAAATCTTTGTGATAGCCTTAAAATATATTTTTATCTTTAGTTATAAAATTTAAAGCTTAAAAAATAGTATAGATCGAACATATTTATGAAAACTTAAAAATCTTGAAACTTGACAATGCAAAAATATGTTACAATATATACTATTTTTAAAACTTGAAATCCAATTTTTTCTCATGTCCATACTTCTTGATATTGAGATGATCAAATTGAAGACATTTGAGCATCAAAACAACCTCTTCTAGTGAAATTTTTTATGTGGGCTCTAATTTGATTGTTTAGAGCCTCGGATCTATATAAACTTTTCCAATTTTGAAAGGTTCTAAGCGTCACAAAACTCAAAATTCAGATTTGCTTTTTTTTTTTTTTTATTACATAATCACTTAATAGTTCTTATGTGATTGTCAAAAGTTTAGACTAAAAAATCTCCTAAATAGGTACTTTGAGGAAGACACAAAGTATGCTCCCGCAAGAGCATCTTATTGCGCTAGATAGAGGACACTCAATTTTTTTTATCATGAAAGTCAGGAAACTAAAGTCAGTTCTCTTTTGGAGGTGATTTTAGAGAGAGAGAAATAAGAGAGAGAAAATGGAAAGTGAGCTCCTTGTGGATAATTTTTACAAACTAGAAAGGGCAAAACATACTGATTTTTTTAGTGGACTTTCGCACCAAAAAAAGACCGAAGGAGTCCCAATTCAGTTCCTTTTATGGGTGATTTGTAGAGAGAGAAAGAGATGGCAGTGGCGTAGTACCCAAAACTTCATCCTAAGTTGAAAAAAGGAGTTAGAGAGAGAAGGGCCACGTGGGTGTCGGAATTATTGACTGCGACGCTGTGAAGACTGTCGAAATCAGCCACACTTTTCGGGAAGGTACTATTCTGGGGGTTTTCCTTCTCCAAATCCGCTTTCACATTTGCACACCTCCGCCAAATCTGACGGACATTTGCTAAATCTGGCGGTTCTTAGTTATATTTCCTCAACACCTGGTCCCTCTAGTTGCCATCCCGCTGCCCGGCAATGGGCCTCCCATTCAGCCCGGTCTGCCCAGCTTTTCAAAAGTAGAGCCTAGATTACGAACGGTAGCCCCAAGGTTGAGCTAGTGCCAATACTAAGCCAAGCTTCTCTTTTCTTGCATTGGGGTCGCTACGGGTTGGGTATGAGTTGGGTCCGGCTGGATTCGGCTCCAGACTTAAGTAGTATTCGAGTCCAAAATTTGGATTCATACTCGAACCAGTTAGATCCCGAAATGGATCTATTGCCACCTTATGATTACAAGTTTTTTTTTTCATTTTTTTTACGATCATGTACTTGATGATTATAAGCTTTTTTTTTAGATTGTATACAATAAGACTATTTACTTTTTATATAAGCTCATCACAATTACTTACAACCATCTAATTTGAAATTTAACAGTTTGAGTATGTCACAATGTTTGAAAATTTTTTTTTTGAGGTTTGAAAATACAACTACCCATATTCACATGTAATGGTGAAGATTAATAAAATATTTCATTCTATATTTTTCCTCTTTTTTTCCAATAATACGATAATTGTTGCTAATATTGTGACAATAGGAACATGCTTGTTATCATATACACTATAACTACAAATACAGGTAGGGTACGAGTTGGGTCCAATTGGACCTAAACCCAAACCCAGACAGACGTGATTACTATTTGGCTCCAAAGTTTAGATCGATACCAAGACCAGATGTAGGGTCTAGCAGTTGGGTGTCGGGTCTGTGAATGGGAGCATCGGCGTGCCCGGGCAGGCTGCGCATCGCCACCACGTGGCCGCCGCCACGAAATTTGGCAACCCGTCCGGCACGGGGCTCATTGAATCTGAGTCTGAAGAGTGGCACGCGGCGGTAAATGGGTTCTAAATGCGCGTATGGAGAGTAAGTAGGGTTCAAAGTTTGTGCAGAGTCGGTGGGTGCAGAGGCAACCGACCGTTGACCAATCGTGTAAGCGGTAACCGGCGCGTGGCCGTGCGCAATCAATGAATTATTATTATTACTGGCATTTATCTATAAATATCTGTGGGAAGATGGAGAGAGAAAGAAAGAGGAGATAGAGAGAGAGTGAAAGAGAGGGGATTCACAGTAGTGTAGATCTGAGTGGCGGATATTGCGATATTTAAGTTTCAGCTTTAAATATAATTTCCATTTGACAGGAGTTTCTGAGCATCTTTTATTGGGTTTGCCTCGAGCCAGAGGTAGAGCATCGATGGATTTGTCTTTGGTTTAGAGAGAGAAAGGCAGTGAGTGGAAGGGAGCTTCTGTCTCTTTCTTGGCATCAGACCTATGTCTCTTTTCCCAATCGGCGATGATTATTCAGACCCAACAATGTCGATACCCACCTTCTGCCTCCTCGAGTTGCAGAGAATAGAAACCCAGACCTCCAAGTTCTTTTTTTAGAGAGAGAAACAGATTGGTATTGAGATATGGGAAGTGGTTTTTCTCTCTCTAGAATTTCAGAGCCAGGGATCATGGCAACTCACCGTTGATAGCTTCTGCAACGAGTTTTAGAGAGAGAAAGGCCGTTATTTAGTGCTGGTCCGAGCTTAAGGGGAAGAGAGAGAGAGAGTGGGTTTTTTTCATCTGGATTTGCGGGAATGGGAACAGGGTGGAAGAGAGCGAGGAACGTGGCTCTTGGTCTTAGCGTCTGCACCTCGGTTCACCAAGACCCATCAGAAGAAGGGCATACAGAGCGCACATCGAGCCCGAGCCCGAGCCCAACGGTGTGCGCGAACCTGAGCCAACTCTCGAGCGGTCGGTCCATGCCTCGGCTCCAATCCCACCCAGTCTCGAGCCCAGGGCTCAGATGCAGGACCTCGGCGACAAACAGCCCCAAGGCCAGGTCTACTCGAACCCCATCAGAAAGCCCAAAGCTCGGGCCTATGAACCCAGCGGTCGAGTCACCAAGGTTGCTCTGCAAGGCCCCTAGGAGCCCCAGGTTCGCTGATGTCTCGAACCCATCGAGCCCTCGTTCACCCTCTCGGTTCGCTACCCTGTTCAAGAACGGCCTCCGCCTATCCAGAGTAAGTTAGAGAGAGAAAGAGTGTTTTTCCGGTACGAACCATGGGGTTTGTGTTTTTCGTACTATAAGAAAAGCGAAGCAATGATGATGGGAGATAAGATAAAGAGAGGGAATTGACTTTTGGGTTTTCTGTCTCTAAATTCATTCTTGTTTTGGCCTGTGTTGCAGGGTGGATGCGGGATTTGTGTGCAGAGCATGAAGACAGGGCAGGGGGGCACGGCCATTTTCACTGCAGAGTGCGCACACGCCTTCCATTTCCCCTGCATCGCAGCCCATGTCAAGAAACAGGGCTCCTTCGTGTGCCCTGTTTGCCAGGCCCAATGGAAAGACGTCCCATTGCTTACTCTCCACAAAGACTCCACCACCACGACACCCAACAGTCACCAGCCTCGGAGCCCACTTTCCACCGGCAAGCTCCAAGAGGGTCGGGCGTACGACGACGATGAGCCACTGATCAAGACCAGTGCTTCTCACTTCAATCCCATTCCGGAGGAAGACCAGGACGACGAAGGGGTTGTCGAGTTTGGGGGGTTCGTGCCTGATCCGAAAGTGGCCTCGACCCGGTCCAGTGTAGAGGTTTCTTTGGGTTCGGAGGTGGCTCTGGTCTCCAGCCACAGGAGCCACGAGAACGTGGCGATGGTCCTCAGATTGAAGGCCCCTCAAGCCAGGCTGTGCGGCCGGGCGCCCATCGACTTGGTGGCGGTGCTTGATGTGAGCGGGAGCATGTCGGGCGCCAAGCTCCACATGCTAAAGCGCGCCATGCGCTTGGTCGTGGGCTCACTTGGTCCGAGTGATAGGCTCTCAATCGTGGCCTTCTCCTCATCGTCAAAGAGGCTTTTGGCCTTGAGGCGCATGTCGGCGCAGGGGCAGCGAACCGCCCGGAGGGTGGTGGACCGGCTGGTTTGCGGGCAGGGCAGTTGTGTTGGCGAGGCCTTGCGCAAGGCTGCCCGTGTGCTGGAGGACCGGCGGGAGCGCAATCCAGTCGCCAGCATCATGCTTCTCTCCGATGGACAGAATGAGCGCACCGCCGCCGCACCAACAACTCGGGACAGTGAGCGCGGCAGCTCTGGCACGCGTTTCGGGCATCTTGAGATCCCAGTCCATGCGTTTGGGTTCGGCAACGGTGATTTGGGGCATAAGAAGTCGACCATCTCAGATGGTGCCGGGAGCACATTTTCGTACGTGCAGGCTGAGGACGCATTTGCGCGATGCATTGGTGGATTATTGAGCGTCGTGGTCCAGGACCTTAGGCTTGAGATCCATTGCAATGCCGGTGCGGAGCTTGCCGGCGTATACACCTGCACAGCGCGTCCCAGAATCTTGCACCACAGCACAAGCGGCCGCACCTCCGGGTGCGCACGGCTCGGCGACCTCTACGCGCAGGAGGAGCGGGAGCTTCTCGTTGAGCTCCGGGTCCCAACGGGATGCACACCGGTGCTCGCAATCGGATCACGGTTCAAAGATCCAGTGACCCAAAACCCAATCAATGGCTTCGACCAAAACCTCCAAATCCCTAGGCCTCAAGGCCTTTCGCACAAGTCAGAGAGGCTACGAAACCGGTTCAGGACAACGCGGGCCATAGCGGAGGCCCGACACCTTTCGGAACTCGGCGAGCACACAGCAGGGCAACAGGTGTTGTTTGCGGCTCGCGCGTTGCTAGTGCAGTCGACGTCAATATCAGCAGACGAGCACCTGCGTGCACTCGAGGCCGAGCTGGCAGAGATACAGTGGCGAGCAAGGCAGCACCAGAGGCGCACCGCCCGGGCCAGCGAGGGCGAGGGTGGTGCCGAGTTAGGTCTGATGGCCGAGAGCGGAGAGGCGCTGACGCCGACCTCGGCGTGGCGCGCCGCGGAGAGGTTGGCGAAGGTGGCGATCATGCGCAAGTCGATGAACCGCGTAAGCGATTTACACGGGTTCGAAAACGCCAGATTTTGACACATACAACACAAAATTTACAGACTTTTCACTCTCTCACCTCTTCCCTCCTCTCTTGTCTTCTACTTGGGTTCGAGAAGTTCAGATTTTTACGGATACGATGCCAACTTTTCTCTCTCTCTCTCCAAGTTCAGAGTTTTACGGACGCGATGCCAAAGTTTCCTCTCTCCTGATTTTTTTTTTTTGTTGAAGTAACAGTGTCGAGTGCGCAGTCGCTATCCTACCAAAAGTGTGTGATCCAAATGGAAACGGACATGGAAAGTTACAAAAGGGGGGAAATTGAGAAAATGTAAGGAGATGGGGAGTGGGTGGATTTGGGTTTTTGGCTCGAGGGCTTCATACTTGGTTTTATGTGATTTAGTGTGTAAGAGTAAGACAGAATAACGCTCCTTGTTGGAGAGTGAGAGAAAGCGATGAGATGGAGGATGGTAATATATATATATATATAATATATAAATGATGTGTAAGAATCACAATAATATGTGAGCTTGTTAATCTTCCTTTGGCTTTTATTTGTTGGTCGGATGTGTGTGGCTTTTTCCGCCTGAAAGCAGAGAGAGAGAGAGAGAGAGAGAGAGAGAGAGAGAGAGAGTAGTACGTAACGAGCGTAGTCGTTACGTTACGACGACACTCGTCGCGACGGACGGACGTACGACGACGTAGTAGTTAAGTAACTACTACGTACGTCGTTCGTTTGT